TTATTCTGTTTATGTCTTCTGTAAGTTTTTTCAGTAATGTTTTAGTTTTCAGTGTGTAAGTCTTTACCTACTTGGTTAGGTTAATTCCTAAGTATTTTATTCTGTTAGATGCTATTGTAAGTGGAACTATTTTTTAAATTTCCTTTTGGGATTGTTCCCTGGCAGTATATAGAAACACTGCTGACTTCTGCATGTTAATTTTATAGGCTCCTACCTAGCTGAATTTATTAGTTTTAACAATTTTTTTGTGGAATCTCTAGGGCTTTCGACATATAAGATCATATCATCTATAAACAGAGATAATTTTACTTCTTTTCAGTTTAGATGCCTTCATTACTATTTCTTCAAGTACTTTTTCTACCTTACTCTCTTTCTGGGACTCCAAGATTAGAACTTTTGTTACAGAAACACCATGGGTCCCTGCCATTGTGTTCAATTTTACCTTTTTTTAAGTCATTTTCTCTCGTTTTTAGACTGGATAGCTTATATTGTTCTATCTTCAAGTTCATTAATTCAGTCCTCTAGCCTTTCCATTCTGTTGTGAAGCTCTGTCTGTTCATTTTGGTAATTGTATTTATCAGTTCTTAAATTTCTATTTGCTGCTGCTTTCTATTTCTTTGGTGGATGTATTTTTTCATTTGTTTTTGAGGATGTCTGTAATTGCTTGTTTAAGCATATTTATGATAGGCTTTAAAATCTTTGTCAGATAGTTCTAAAATCTTTTATCTTGGAGTTGGCATCTATTGTGTCTTTTTTTCATTAAGCTTGAGAAGCTGAATTTCTGCTTGTTTCCTTAATGTGACTCATCACTATGCTTTCATTTAATTGATTATTCTCTTACTTATCTTCTCTGTTTTTGGTTTAGAAACACTCTTGCAATTAGTATGCCCTATTTCAAGTCAGTAGTGGACGTTCATAAATGTCAGAGCCAGGGGCTTCCAAACAACTCTTCAGAGGCATTATTGACAGTTACGGCACATCACTCTCTGCCTACCCCCTTGTCTTCCCTCTTGCCCTCCCATTGTCCACGTGTTAAGGTGATGTTACACATTTGGAGGAGAGCTTTTTAACCTAGCAGCTGTAGGCCTGTAGAGAGTCCATGGAGGGGCTTTAGGTGCTTTCCCTAAAAGCCCCCTTCCCCATCAGATACAAACATATGTTGTGTGTATGTACATTTTTCTCTGGTGAGTCAGTGGTTCCCATACAGTCCCTAAATGAGAACATGACCAAAGAGGTTAAGAATCATTGTAGCAGATTAAGAAATGGGAACAACAGACTTGGAGGCTCTAAATCATCCATTTACAGGGACTTGAGATCAGGGTGCAGGCTGGAGTGGACAGAGGCCAGCGTGGTGGTGTTGGGAGCTTTCCCTCAACCAACCGAAATAACTCGTTAGCTCGTAATTATGTGGGTGCGACAGGCACAGTGTCCAGGAGAAGCTTAAAAGATCCGCAAAGTGTAGAATGTTTCAACATAATGAAATGAGAAGAAGCATTATTACAGTGTAATGTTAAGAAATTTACATCTAAATAAAAGATGGTTATTGAGGGAAAGTTTGACTTTTTCCAACCTGACTTAGTTAACCAGGCACTGCTAACAGAGCAGCTGGTCTCGTCCAGGGCAGCATGCAGCGCTCACAGAAGAGAAACAGGCTCACTGACAAGATAGTCCAGAGAGGATGGTAGCCCTCAAGGTCCCAGAAATAAATGGAAAGAAATGACAGTAGATTAGAGACTGGAGAAAGCAGGAGGAAGGTACTGTGAAGGGACCCCAGGACTGTCCTGTGGCAGCAATCAGGGGAATTTCCGTTGAGCCCAGTAAAGACGGAAGCCCAAACCAAATCAGAGCTGGACTAAATAGATTCCTTTCCTGGAGGAGGCTGGGCCTAATTGAATCTGTAACAAATTTCTGTTTATCAAGCTTTTCTAATTTTTGTTCCAGACTCAGCCTTTGAAACCCTTATTTAAACTCTTTCATCCTGTTATTTCCAGAGTTTCTAAGGAAGGCTATGTAGGGGCACCAGTCTAAGGAGAACATCAGTTTAAAAAGGCAAAGAATATATCTCCCCTTTCTCCTCTCCGGGCTACTTGAGCCCCGAGAAAGCTCAGGAGGAGCAGCTTTCCGCAGAATGAAACTGACTTGCTTCTAGACTCACAGGTCCCATAGCTTGCAGAGTGATGGACGTGTTCAGGCCATCCCTCTGTATGATACTGAGATGCATAATAAGAAACATATACTTGGGCTTTTTCCCACTTTCTGGCACAGAGCTCCTAAAACCCTTGGAATTTCCTAAGTGATGAAAACGATAAAGGTGTCGTTTGTGTTTCTATAAGGTGTACCTAAGGATTCGGGCTGGTTGCCAGGAGAACCAACCATGTGATGCGAGAATTAGAACTTTCAATCCCAACCCCTGATCTCTGGGCAGGGAAGAGGGCCTGGAGGTTCAGTCAGTCACCAGTGATTAATCAACCATACCTATCCATTGAAGCCTCCATTAAAAACCCCAAAGGGCAGGTTTGGAAAGCTTCTGGGTTGGTGAACACAAGGAGACTTAGGGAAAGCTGTATCCTGGAGAGGGCAGGAACCTCCACACCTTTTCCCCATGCCTTGCCCTGTATGCATCTTTTCTATCTGGCTGCTGCCAATTTATAAACCTTTTATAGTGATCTATGAAGTAAAATGTTTCTGAGTTCTGTGAGACATGTTAGCAAATTAATCAAACCCAAGGTGGGGGGTCCTTGGAACCTCCAATCTACAGCCAGTCGGTCTGAAGCAGAGCTTCGGGCTTTTGATTGGTATCTGAAGTGGAAGGCGGTCTTGGGCTGTGGAATCTGATGCCATCTCCAGGTAGATAGTTGTCAGAATTGAGTTCTTGAATTGTAGGTCTTCTAGAGGTGAGAAAAACCCCTGCTACACGTTGAAACTGGATGATCAGAACCATACTCTGCTAGCGAATGGTCAGCAAACATCCCAGGAAGATCTGGTCCACTAGCCACAGACATAGTACATGTCAGCTGAAAGGACAGCACGAGGCGGGTACTTTTAAAGACCTCTCTCTATTCATTAAAAAATCCATTCATTCAAGTAGGTAGTTGATAAGAGCTTGCTGTGTTTCGGTGTCTGTTATGTAGCTTTTGTATCTCCTGATGCTAAGTCAGGGTTCTTGCAGAATTCCCACCCACCTCCAGGAAACAGAGCACACCCATGTGAACTGCTGGGGATCCATAATATAATTATTCAACACGGGAAACACTGCATGACCACAAACACAAGTGCTAAAGGGACCAGGTAGTGAGGGAGTGATCAGAAGGAGGGTTCCTACACACTAATAATCCTTCACGTTCCCAAAATACTTGGGACTTGGCAAAATACACCTTCACAAGTGACCTTATTTACTTCTAAGACAATTCTATAGGGTAGGTATTACCCTCATTTTTAAAATAAAATTATATTCAGAGGGATTAAGAGACTTGTTTCAAATTGTAAAATCTGAAGTAAATGGTGGGACAGGAACACAAACCACTGACTCTAATCGGGGTGTCGTCCTGCTACTTGACCCTGCTGGGGTGCACATCTGCATTTTAGTTGATAATCACAACCCGGGAAGTTTGGGTAAGGCCAGGACTTACCCCCGAGGCCTCATGACAGACGTGATGATGCTGTGAGATCCCCCATTTGGCAGCTGTCAGTGTCTGTGCTTGGGCTTATTTTTGGTATCAGGAGCAGAGGATGCTAAAACCATCACCAAGAGAAGCTTCTGGAGGAGGCCAGAGTGGAACTGGGCAAATGGGAGGTAAAAGGGCAGTAAGAGTGCCGTAGGAAGGGCTGGTGACCGCCGGGCCCCCGTCATCCCGTAAATCTGCATCAAGATGTCAGTCTGGGTTAGATCAGGCCTGTCTTTGCAGATGAGGGTATGAGACATCTCCTTCAGGAGTTCTGCGTGCAGTGGCAAAGAGAAGGCCCCACATGAGGAACAGCAGAGATCCAAATCTCCTCTGGGTTGGCATCAGGAGCTCAGCGAGCTCTGAAGGGATTTCTATACCAAGTCTTAGTAGAGTCTCATCCCTTCCGCTGTTGCAGTCTAGTCGGAAGGGGCAGAGCCCTGGATACCAGCCTGGATTTAATGACTTGTTCACACATCTGTCTCCTCCACTAAATTGTAAGGGCAACACTGGGCCTTACTCAGATTAATAGAAGCACTTAATAATTAACATGTGTTGAATTCAGCTGAATGAACTAGACCTTGCTCTGCTGCAGTGTGACTCCAAGCCTTTGCTCCTTCAGTTTTTAAATGGGCATGGAAATGCCTGGCCCCCTGGCCTCAGATGGCTGACATCTGTCATGAGGACCAGATCCGTCATGTACGCATGAGCAGTATTAATACTTTCTAGTCCCATATAAACATAAAGGATTATTCTGATCACTTACAAAACACCTACTTGGAGGTGACCCTCCAAGTGGGTACATCATATACTTGGGAGTTTTCTCCACATTGTCTTTTTTGTCAAAACATTCACAAGTAGACCCTCAATAAGTATTTCCTGTTTAACTGGACTGGCTGACAACCATCAGCCAGAGCAGAAGAGAGATGTTCTCCCTGAGACTGCAGGAGACTTCTGGTGCTCTTCCATCAGTCTGGGTAAAGTTGTCGGACAAGGCAGAAAGAACAGGAAGGGCCGAGTGCCTTCAGGACTCCTCATGTTCTTCCTGTTGACCACGGGCTGATTTCAGTTGGAGATCAGGAAGAGGCAACAGGGCTAGCATTCAACAAAAACCATTAGGGATTTCATTTTTAGGAATCCGTTAGGCGTTTGTTATTCTTCTCATCTAACTGTGGACCAGCCAGCCCCTACACACTTCCTAAGAGATCCTGACTCAGGGCCTGGGTCTCCCTACTTGTCTGTGGACCAGGGCATGGTGGCCCAGAGGACCCCATGAAGGCGCCAGGAGCTGTCCGTGAAACCCCACAAACCAGGTCTCTGGACCAGTGCCTGGACCAGAGGAGCACACGAGCTCTGCCAGGGTAGAAGGGCACAGAGGAGAAACATCACTCTGACAACGCAGTCCAGCACCGTCCCTGTGCGCCCACTTAGCTTCTCCACACTTACTGCCAGCATTGTATTGACCTCCCCACCTCTCTCCCTCCAACAATGAATACTTCCCAAGTTCCAGGTACCTTGTGTGGTGGCAAGCTGGTTACAAAGATAAGCACAGAGCCCTTGCGGTCTCCCAGTGGGGAAGGCATCAGATACTCCTACGGCTGCACGATAAGGGCTCAGTGGCAGAGAGAAAACAGCGTTGAAAAGACCCAAGAATGAGTAGTGAGCATGTCTTGGGCAACAGTAAGTGGCTTGCTTACTTTGGCCATGTGTGTGTAGGAGAGGCTGGCGGTGAGGAGACTGCGAAGGTGGAGGAGGGCACAGGTGCAGTTTGCACCAGTTAGTAAGAGTTGAGTGTTAAATTTGCATGATACGTGTGAACTGGATGATCTGATGTTGGTAGTTTAAAATCAGCCGTGGTGGGCATGTTTCTACAACAAATGTTGGCAAACATCACAAATCAGTTTTTGAGCTGGTTGTTACATTTATGGGCCCGTGTTTGTGCACCAGTATGTGTGTAGAGTTGCTAGAAATCTCAAGGAAGAGGCCCAGCAACAGTCAGAAAAGGGTATTCCAGGCAGAACTGCATGCGAACTTGGCACACTCACCAGCCTCAGATTCTTCATCGCTTGGGGAAACATGCCTTGATGTAACTGCAGTTTGCCAACTTTCATTACCTGCACACCTCTGACGGGATGGTTTCCTGGGAAAAAAAATCCTGGAAGAAAACAAACGGCAAACAGTGTCAGCAGCTCTCACCTTTGCAGTCGGCATTTTGTCAGGAGACTATGAAAGTGGGCGCGCACGCTGGCTGTGACTGTTAATGAGCCACTGAAAAGAAATTAGCTTTGCAGCTGGGAGAGTGCAACACTGAGGGAATAAGCACACTGTCGTCTCCGGTGCACCAGAATGCCTTTTGCATTAGGAAGACAATGACAGGACTGGGATGCCTCTGTAATAAACACTGGAGAGGAAAATCTGGACCTCTGCCTTTATACTTGGCAGGGGATGTGCAGACCAGGTGCCAATCTTATCCTCCAGCCTCTCCGTGGAGCTCCAGCACCTAGGACAGCCCTAGAACGGAAGCTGGCCTCTCAGGATGTAACTGTTATGGAAATGAGTAGAGCTTTCAGGACTCCCATCTAGATGCGCCCACACCCTTCTCTTAACTGTAAAGCCCTCTGAGTCTCAGCTGTAGGCTACATCGTTCACCAGAGTACACCTTCCAGGCCCCGTCTATTTATTGGATTCTAGAGCTTTTGATTCAGAGACCCCGTCTCTGCCACGAACTCCACACACACTTGACGTCGTTCACACATACCAGAATAGAACTGCGTGTTGTTGGGGACCAAAGGGTGACTACTTAGGGCTGTTTCAGGCCCAGTGTTATTTCAGCTTGATTCAACAATATGTCTGCAATTTGGCCTCTTCTGCCTCCCACATCCTCTAATCTTGGAGTCTACTGAGCTCCTGCTGTGTGTGCAAGATTGTTCCTGGGGCTGGGGCGAATACTCCACTGTAATATATGATATTCCCTCAAGTCCCAATAATCCTATAAGAAACAAAACATTCCTGCAACAGTTAAAAAATATCACAGGATAGAGCACGACTTCATGTCCCAATGAAGCCTCAGTACATAGTAATGCTCAGTTCAGCTGAGAAAATGGTACAGGAGTCATGAAAAAGAGAGGTGACTAATGATTGGTTCGACTAGGGAAGGTCCCCTGGAGGAGGGAAAGAGGACTTAACCTGGCTCCCCAGGATTTGGGAAGGCTTGTCTGGGTGGGGAGAACGGAAGTGCATCCTGCTGTTGGAAGGCGTAAGCGAGGGTGCCCTCCAGGGGCCGCCTGTCCAGAGACCTCTGTAACATAACCCAGAGAGTCACGACTTACCCAGGGCTTGCCATGTGCCAAGCACTGATCTGCTTTTCATTTATGAACAGTCATGGAACCCACATCTAGGCTCTGCTGTATAATGGAGATGAGGTAGGTTTACCAGGAGAGACACGTTGTGTTCTCTGATTAGCGTACACAGATCTGCAAACCATTCCCTCTCCCGGAACCTCAGCTCTTCCCCGCATGAAATGTGATATGGAAGCTTTTTTCATTCAGGCTCTTAAAGAAGTGGAAAGCAGTACCTGAGAGGGAGGTATTTAAATTAATAGAAGGTTGGCCATGCTTCTTTTAAAAAACTGAAAAGGGAGAAGGTGGGGGGAACAAAGGAGACACCTGGGTCCTGGGTTTTCCTTTGTCTCCTGAGTGTGCCAAGAGATCAATCACTTTACCTCCCATCCCTTCAAAATGAGCATCATTATCTACTTGTGTGGAAGAGATTTTAAGATCCTCAGACAAAAGGCTTAAGTACAGGACACCATTGCCCTGTACTTAACTGCCCTGGACACTTTCCTTGAAAAGCACACCTGGGTTTGGGACTTTAAATTTAATTATGCCACCTTCATAGCAATAAAATAAAGGCCAAAAAGAACTACATACTAGTAATCATTCCATTAAGTGGATGTCTGTCACGTCAGTTAGCAGGAGGAAATAGAACCTTTGGTTCTGTAGTGGCAGGGAAAATGGGGCATAATTACTCCACCATGAGTACCTGCTCTGGTTGCTTAAAGATATTAAAAAACAAAGCGGAGCTTCATATGGAGAGGATGAGGAAGTGGCTGGGAGGGGGACTTCCACATAAATATTTACGGAGTAGTCTCATAGCTCTGGCAGGGGTGCTGAGCGTGTGCCTGGGTGGTTTCTGGAGGCTTCCCAGCTGACATATGGGAAAGCATCATGAACACTTGCTGGAACAGCACCCCAGGGAGGACAGGAAGCTCCCTCCTGCTGGGAGAGGCTCTCCACCGTGGGCGTGGGCTTTCAGCAGCCTCGCTGTGTGTGACAGTGACGAGGAGCGAGGAGGGCCTGCAAGTGGTCTTCACAGGACTGTCACAAATCAATGCCAGGCTGACAGCCTGAACCGGAGAAGGGATGGGGGATGCCTGAGGACTGAAAACTGGAGTTTGAGTGAGGAGGGGAAGGGACAGCTAGGAGATGCCAGGTTCTGTGCCCAGGGCGTAAGGGATACAGGAAATCCAAGGTGAGTCCCTGCCTTACTCAGTATACAGTCTAGTTGCAGATGTGAACCAAATGAAGTCACGATGCAGGGAGGAATCTGAGAGCTGCCAGACCACGGCGCAGACAACGGGTGCCCCAGAAGCAGACCAGACTGCAGTGATCAGGGGAGGTTCTTTGGAGCCAGAAGGTTCAGACCGGAAGAGGTGAAGGGCTCCTAGGACAGCACGCGGGGCCTGGGAAGGGACAGGTAGCTCTGGCGATGGAACAGAAGGCTGAATACAAAGGCCAGTGAGCACACTGGTCTGGCCCACAGGAGGCGAGCAGGAGAGGAGATATGCTTGAGGCCAGGCATGGCTGAAGGGGGCTGAGAGTATTTCCTTGAGAGCAGAGAACAAGGAAAACTGGTAAAGAGACCATACAGGCAGAGAGACCTGAGGCAGGATGGTGGTAATGAGAACAGAAAAGAAGGATCTGATGCAAAAAAATGCTGTACAGATGATTCAACAGGACCTGGAGCCCTGCTGGGGCCCAGCAGTCAGAGCTGACTCCAAGATTCAGAAATCGAAATGCCACCCACCAATACAAGCTAACTGTGTAATAACAAAACCATTCAGCAAGGCATTCTACTTGTTTGGGTGTGATCACTGTATTTTCATGGGTGCGGCACTAGCAGTCACATGCTCCAGGATGCTGGCCTCGAATGGAAGCAGTGCCTTTGGTGTAGTGAGGAGCGCGTAGGAAGGACGATGTTTAACCAGAGAAGAGCAGCAGCACAGGCGCTGGTGTAACTCAGACCTGTGAGCACCAGGCCTTGCTGCCATATTCTGTGAGGCTTTGAGAGTCAGGAACCTGGAGTGTCTTAAGTTAAAAGAGGGTAGAGACAAACATACGCAATGGCAGGGCCTTTGTTACTGGTCTTACTGAGGTTTTTCCACACGACACAATTATCAGTCACGTTGCTTCATTATAGGTAGGAGTTCAGGGCAGGAAAAAACTTATTGTTCAGGACTACTTTTTTAGAACTGATAGAAAATATATCACTGAATTTAAAACAAAGGCTTAGCTTGGCTATATAAACTGTATTTGAGAGTAGCCAAATAGCTCTGGTGTATGAATTTTAGTTGATAAATGTGAAATGATAGTGGAATTAGAAAAATCAGACTTTTGCAACTCCTGAGGAAATAACTGGTCCATGAAAAATTATCACTAGATGAAACCAGATCAAAGAACAATGGGAAATTTCACAATGGATAAATCAGATGGTTGTTACCATCTGAACCCAATAATCAATCTTAGCATCACTCAGATGGGACAACCAGACATTACATGCTATCTGATATGATGCAATAGGAATTATTTCATATCACCTATAGAGTATCCTTGCCAAAAAAACAAAAAAGAAGAGGAAATCGAATTTAAGCTCATAAAGTTAAATTCAATTGCAAAGGAAAAACAAGTGATAGAGGAACACATAAAAGCAATCAGCTAAATCTAAGACATGGGAAATTCTACAGGACTGTGACCCAGGATCTCAACAGGTCAATGGCCTGAAAAGAAAAAGATGGCAGGGGAGGAGAACACTCTAACCTAGGAACTCTGAACGTGAAATGGCATTGTGGGGGTGTAAGAAAATGTCCCTATTTTTCAGAAACAAAATGTAGTATGCATGGATAAAATGATGTAATGTTTAAGATTTGAATTAAATTTCTTCAGCATAATTTCTCCTTCTAGCTGTGGTGGATTAGCTTGTTTTATACCAAATTCCTTGTTAAGAACAAGATAAGTTAAACAAGTATCAAAGAACCACTGAAGGAAGGAGATCTGGATGAGTCAAAACAGCAGGAAGAACAGAAGCTCAAGAAGGTGATCCTTATTTTTGTTGTTACTTTTCCCTTTGCTGATCAGAAAGCAAAGGCAGAAAGGCTAAACAGCTGAGCAGAAGTTTTGGCAGTCTCAAAGACAGGGAGCCACAGAAGTTGGAGTTCAGGGCTCAACAAAGATGAGAAGAAGCCCTAGTAAATACCCCCAACTTTCATTTGTGACCCGCCAAAGGGCAGCAGTCTGGGAAGAGTGGTAAGCCAGAAACAGACTGCGGTTCAAGCCCTGATTAGATTAAGGTGATCTGTTTCTACCCTGTCTGGCCAGAAGCAAGAGTAAATTCTCTCTAAAGGAAGATAACATCATCCTGAACCTCAAATTATCTTTCTAATTTTTCTATACAATTTCCTGCGTTCAATAAAATTATAACCAGACATACAAAAAGACAAGGACTGTCTGAAAACTAAAAGAAAAACAGAGACAATAAACAGACCTAGAGGTATGCAAATATAGAGGTTCTTATAATTGACTTTAAAATAACTGTAATTATTTTATATACTTGATAATGGCAAACTTAATAATAGAATTTTAGCAGAAAATTAGAAAGTATACAAAAAAAAAACCCAATGAAAATCCTGAGACAGAGAAATAGAAAACTGAAATTAATAACTCAGTAGTTTAATATCAGACTTGTCACAGCCAAGGAAAGAATTAGAGAACTGGAAGGCAGGTCAAAAGAATTCATCAGTAAGACATGGAGAGAGAATGAGATGAACACTAAAGATATATGTTAACTTAAGTCTCAAATGAGAGAAGGGAGAAAATGGGACAGAAGCAATATATGAAGCCATAGTGACTTAGAATTTTCAAAAGTAATGAAAGATAAGAACTTTAAAGAGAATAAAGTAATTCAACAAAGGGAAAAGGTGGGGGGACAGTGGGAAATAAAATGCATACAGTGGGGAGGTGCCAAGATGATGGAGTAGAGAGACTCAAAGCATGCCCTCTCTCACAGATTCACCAAGAATTACACCTACAAACCCACTGAATCGCACAGAACACCTACTGAACTCTGGCAGAGCGTCTCGCTTCTAAATACAGAAGGATTCTCACAAAATCTGGTAAGAAAAAAAGAAGAAAGAAAAAAGAAAAAGAATCGGTGCAGGACCGGTCCTGCAGGGAGGGAGTGGCATAGGAAGAAAGGCACCCTCAGGCTGGGCTGCCCCCTCTCCAGCCGGGAGGTCAGTGGGAGCTTCTGAGGCTCAGAGGAGAAAGTGGTAGCCGCTTGGCAAAAAGACTAACTGAAACTGGCACAGAGGGTCCCTACGATCCCCAGCCCTAGATGTGAGCCGGGATGGGCTGCTGGAGATTGGTGAGGAACCTGGGGAAAGGGTTGGGGCCCACTGCACAGAGGCAGCCTTGGGACTGGATGGCGGTGTATGCTCTGGCTGGGGGTGTGTGTGGAACAGAACAGCCTGGGACCCCCATGACGAAGCACCACTGCTGGTGTGTGTGGAGGGGAGGGGCAGTGCAGCCCTGCCATAGACTGTGTCTTCGCTTGGCTCCATTGGTGTGTTCTCGTGAGAAGAGAGGTGGGGCTTGGTCACATGAAAAGATGCTCCATGTTATGTGTCATCAGGGAAATGCAAACTAAAACAATGAGACATCAATGCACACTTACTAGAATGGCCAAGATGCAGAACACTGACAACACCAAATGCTGGCGAGGATGTGGAACGACAGGAATTTTCATTCGTTGCTAGTAGAATGCAAACTGGCACTGTCACTTTGGAAGAGCTTGGTTGTTCCTTACAAAACTAAACATGCTGAACAAACGAAACCAAACCATAGTATCCAGGAACTGTGCTCCTCGGTATTGACCCTAAGGAACTGAAAACTTCTGTCCACACAAACACCTCCACGTGGATATTTACAGCCGCTCTGTTCATAATTGCCAAAACTTGGAAGCAACCAAGATGTCCTTCAGTAGGTGAATAGATACAGACTACAGTACACCCAGCGACAGCCAGCACTCTAGTGAGCAGGACACGTCGGGATCGCAGGGCAGCGGGGACCCACTGCGGGACTCCAGTAGCCTGGCCTCAGCCTGGTCCACCTCGTGCACATTTCTCAACTGGTGCAGGGGGCAGAGGGCTAGGCTGGGCTGGGCAACTTTTTTCCCCTCCTGGCCCATGTTGGGCTAGCTCTGAGCACTGGAATTTGCTTTCCTGTCCAGGCCCACCCTCAGCCTGTAATAGCACAATGAGAAATGTTTGCCAACTGAAAGAGGCCCTTCCTGCATCATCTTTGGTCAACTGGACATTCTTTGTGCATGAAGAAATTTTCCTTTGCCACCACAGTGAAGAAACATCAATAAATGAGTCTAGTGAAAATGTGGTAATATTAAAAAAAAAAACCCCAACAACTATGGTATATCCAGACAATGGATTATCATCCAGTGCTAAAGAGAAAGGACTTATCAAACTATGAAAAGACATGGAGGAACTTTAAATGCATAGTACTGAGTGAAAGAAGCCAGTCTGAAAAGATGACATTTGAACTATATGACATTCTGGAAAAGGCAAAACTATGGGGACAATAAAAAGATCAGTGGCTCTCAGGAGTTCAGAGTCGGGAAGGGATGAATAGGCAGAGCATGGAGGATTTTCAGGGGAGTGAAAATACTCTGTATGATTCTGTAATGAAGGATACATTTGTCCAAACCCATAAAATGTACAGCACCGAGAGCGAACCCTAATGTAAACTGTCGACTTTGGATGACAATCGTGTGTCAGTTTAGGTTCATCAGTTGTAACAAATGTCCCATCTGGTGGAGAATGAGGATAATGGGGGAGGCTCTGCATGTGTGGGGAAGGGAGCATATGGGAAACCGCTGTATATTCCACTCAACTTTGTTGTGAACCTAAAACTGTTTAGAAAAAATTGTCTTAATTTTTTAAAAAGACTGAAAATGAAATAGACATTTTTGGACAAAGAAAAACTGCCAATTTGTCACCAGCAGATCTTAACAAAAGGATTTTCTAAATTACATACCTCTGGTAGAGGGAAAGTGAGCCAAGATAGATGGGAGGTCTAAGGTGTAAGGAGGAATGAAGAATAAAGAGAATGCTTAATAGGGGAAAATTTATGAATACTGACAAACAAAACAATTTTAGGGGTTAAAAATATGGTAAAAATTAAAAATACAATAAGCACAGCATATATGTTACTGGAACATATGGTATATTTAATAAAACAGTATTGAAAACTGATTTAATGTTCTGTTTCAATTTCTAGGTAAAAGCCATTGTGTAGAGAACAGTTAGGTTAATAGATAACCTGAAGATTTAATAATCTCAAAAGATAGGTGTTAAATCAAGAAGGGAACACTGCAGTTTTTAAAATGCACATATCTTTCCTTTGTTTGGAAGGAAAAATTAGATTTATAAAAATTAAAAACTAATAAAAAGCTGCACTACCCAGTTTTAAAGAGAAGATGAAGTCTAGACTGCCATCAGTAAGTTTACCAAGTTGTGTGTCTGTATCTGTATTACAGTGTGCCTCTATCTAACAACACTCAGTGTTGTTTACATACATTCCAGAAGTGACAGGTCTTCTTTTTGATACAGATGCCAAGTACTCAAGAGCCCATAGCTCTTAAAGAAGTCTTAGGCTCCCAGAACACAGGTGTCGGGAGCTGTTGGAGGTGCTGGACTGTGTGCTGGGAAGCAGAGGGGCTCTCTTCGGTGATTTTCAAAGGAAAATACAGCCTGTTGGGGCAGAGCAATCGGCCCTGCTCAGGTGTAGAATCATGAGAAAGTAAGTGAGCCTGTAGCAGGGCTTGGAAATGGTGGCCCGAAGGCCATATCTCACCTGCAGCATGTTTTTGTAAACAGCTGTGCTGGCATACAGCCACACTTACTCATGTACATGCTGTCCACGGCTGCTTTCGTGCCTGCAGCAGCGATACTGAGTAAGTGACTGTATAACTTGCAATGCCTGAATACTGACTACTGGCCCTTTGCAGGAAAAGTCTGTCTGACAGCTGTATGTAGTAAAGGAGTTTCTAGAAGTAAGAGGCTGGGGGAGGATCTCATCCAAAAAAACACTCTATAATGGATGACTATGAATATGTATTAGATATAGATCAGACTAGATAGTTGTCTCCAGCAAGAATAATGATAATTATAACAAATAAGTTAAGCCCTTCTAAGGACTTTGTTTCAGCTAAATTTATTCTAAAACAACCTTATGTAAACTTTGGTAAAGATGATGTGATCAGAGAGTCTTCTGTAAAAAACAAGTATAAAGCTGGACGGAATTGCCAAAAACAACCACTTCAGGGCATGAGAAATTGACCAAAGTTAAACAACAAACTGAGATGTGTTTATTTGTTAAAAATAACTAGAGCCTAGAGTAAGAGAAGCAGAAGTCCATGGCCTGCTTGCCTGGAGCTATTCGCATCCACTGCCCCTACCTGAATGAGCCACAAAAGGACTGAGACAGGTGCTCCATTTCACCTAGGTAACTAGGAAACTGGACTTACAGGAGGGAGACACAAGAGAGCTTGGCAAAAAGTAAAAGCCAAGGGAGGCGAGAACTGGCTTCAACTTTGAACGCATACACCTTCCCATACAAAGCAGAAGGGGACACTTTACAGGTTCAAGATGTTTGAGCAGTACCTCTAGCCACATCATTGGCTGACCACTGAGCTGTGCAAACACAGGAAAGACCCTTAGGAAGCTAGGCTAAAAAAATAAAAAAAACTGAGCAAAGCCATCATTAATCAGCTGCATTGCCCACTCCACAGTTTACACGCAGGCAAGTTAAAAAAACAGCCCACAACAAAACAGCCAGTAACAACCTTCAGAACAATAAAACATAACGCAGGGTTAATATTATTATTTTAAATGTTCAGTTTTCAGTTAAAAAAATCTTTAGATATGTTATAGTAGGAGAAAAATGCCCTCTAGATAAATCCCCAACCTAATCTTCAGAGCCTGTGAATGTTTATCTTACACAGCAAAATGAATTTTGCAGATGTGATTAAGGTTAAAAACCTTGAGATGGGGAAATTATCCTGGATCATCCAGGTAGCTCCAGTCTAATCAAATGAATCCTTAAAACCAGAGACCCATTCTTAGCTATGGTCAGAGAAAGAGCTGTGATGATGGAAGCAGGTCAGAGAGTTGTTATGCTGTTGGTTTTGAAGATTCAGGAAGGGAATCATGAACCAAGGAATGTGTGCAGCCCCTAAAAGCTGGAAGAGGTCGGGAAACAGGTTCTCCCCTAGAAACTCCAGGAAGAAGTACACCTGCTGACACGTTAATTGTAGCCCAGTGAGATCTGTGGTAGGCTCCTGACCAATGGAACTGTAAGATAATCTGTGTTGTTTGAGGCCACTAAGCTTGTGATAATTTGTTAGAGCAGCAAAAGAAAATTTACAATACACATGTGAAAAACAGGAAAGTAGGAACCATACTCAGGAATAAAGCTGTCAAAAGAAACTGATTCTGAATCGGCCCAGATGTTAGGTTTAGAAGACAAAGTCATTAAAGCAGATGCTATAAATATTTTTAAGGAGTTAAAGTAAATTATGCTCAAAGGATTGAAGGGAAATAGGGGGGACAGGAGGGAATCTTGATGGAGAAATAAAAACTGTAAAAAAAGAACCAAATGTAAACTCTAGAGTTGAAATGAAAAGGTCACTAGTGAATTTGACAGCAGATATGATATGACAGGAGAAATAATTAGTAAACTAGAAGACAGATCAATAGAAATATCAAATCTGTAGAACAGAGTGAAAAATAACTGAAAAAAATGAGCAGAATCCTCAAATACCTGTGAGACAGTCACATTTTCAATGTATGTGTAATACACATCTCACAATATGTGGAAAAAGAGAAGGGGACTAAAAAATAGTTGAAGAAATAATGTCCAAAAACTTTCTCAACTTAACATCAAAACAAAGCATTAGCTTATAGATCCAAGAATGGATCAACTATCTCCAAGAATGATAAATGCAAAGAAAATCTTACCCATACACATCACAGTCAGACTGTTTAAAGAGAAAACCTTGAAAGTAGCAAGAGAAAAACAACGTGTCACACACAGGGGAAAC